ACAGGTATCTGAAATTACTGTATATAATATAAAAGGTATTTAACACGAAACCCCTGTGAGCAGGACAGGTATTTGAAGTAAATGGCTTTTCCTCACTGCGTATGATCGGTGACCTATGCAGATTCTCAAATAGGCCACGCCTACCTGATGACGCAGTTTCGATTACGCTGCTCTGAAACCCCTGGAAAAAAGTGCATCCCGAGGTTGCCGCTTGGTTTTCACAGAAGCTGTTGTTTTCTGTCAAAATAAAAGCTCAACAAGTTTCTATCAAAATAAAAGCTCAAGGGTTTATCTCTTTCAAGCAGGGCCTAAAATTAACATTAAAGTTAAAATTAACAGACAAACATTACTGTCTAGATGCAAGAAGAATCTGGATGAGATATTGGAGTCATATATTACTAGATAGCTACATTATTACCTGAAGCTCCTTAATGGCTAATGTCCAAATCTTAATTGCACAATGTGCAAAATGCAAGATTTAATGTTAAATATTTTCCAAAGATTAGTACTCAGGGTCTGCACTCAGTCACACACACCTTTGTGCAATTCCTATTATACAGTATTTTAGAGTAGCCTGAACAGTTGCAACAATAGTTTGCCCACGGTTCAATAATTACCTCGGTTTTTTAACCACAGCATTTTCAGTAAAATTTTTACTGAAAATGCTATGGTAAAACCATGGTTAATTTTGTGGTTACTATGGGTTTACTACAAAAACCATGGCCATGGTTAGTAAAACCATGATTCATTTTCGTAAGGGTGTGTGTGTGTGTGTGCGCGCGTTTTTGTGACAAATGAGGACATAAATTTGTATAATGACAAAGGTATGACATAGGTATTACAAGGAGAAGGTGACTTTTCAGCACATTACCCCATGTCCCCACTTTTCAAAACGCTTATAAATCACACAGAATGGAGTGTATTGAAAATCTGAAATAGCACAAAGTTTCCTGTAAGGGGTAGGTTTAGGGGTAGGGTTGGTGTAGGGCAATAGAATATACGGTCTGTACAGTATAAAAACCATTACGCCTATGGGATGTCCCCACTTTTCACAAAAACAAACCTGTGTGTGTGTGTGTGTGTGTTTATTCACTACTCACTGCTGTGTGTGTGCACTTGGATGGGTGAAATGCAGAGCACAAATTCTGAGTATGGGACACTATACTTGGCTACACGTCACTTCACTTCACTTCACTTCACTTCACTCACTTAATAAAGCATTATAGTTCTCCTTAAATTAACATTCTGTCATCATTTAATCACCATCATTCTGTTCCAAACCCATATTACTTTTTTTTTGTCACCAGGGGGCGAATGAGATTTGAGAGCAGATTACTAGTGGATAATGTCTTAAATTTCAGTTTATTCCTCACACATTCAAATGACTTGGAATATAGTGTACAATGAAAAACAAAAAAGTGTTGTAGAAACAATTTTCACTCAGAAATTTCACAATTTCACAGCAAGTAACACATTGAATTTAACATGAAATTTGGAACTGTAAAGACTGAAATGGTATTGTTTTGTAAACCGTCCTCCAATAATCTTGAAAAATCCTTTGAAGTTTCATGGATGAAAAAGTCATACAGTTTTGGAACAATATGAGAATCAGTAAACAATAACAGATATGCAAGGGTTCTATTTTTTTTAAAGAAATTAATACTTATATTAGCAAATATGCATAAAATTTATCAAAAGTGACAGAAAAGACTATTACATTCTTACAAGCATATTCAAATATTTGAAATAAATGAACTTTCTTTTGAACTTTCTACTCATCAAAGGATCAGAAGAGAAAAAACGTATCACACTTTCCACAAAAGTATTAAGCAGCACAACTGTTTTCAACACTGTTAATAATAACACGTCTCACCAAATCAGCATATTAGAATGATTTTTGAAGGATCATGTGACATTGAAGACTGGAGTAATGATGCTGAAAATTCAGTTTTGATGTCACAGAAACAAATTACATTTTAAAATATATTACAGCTGAAAAAAGTTCTTTTAAATTACAATAATATTTTACAATATTACTGTTTTTAATGTATTTTTGATCAAACAAATGCAGCCTTGGTGAGCATGAAACACTTCTTTCAAAAACATTTAAAAAATCTTACTGACCCCAAACTTTTGAATGGCAGTGTATATATACACACAGAATTGTATTGTTCATATTTTATTTCTTCCATCTGGGGCAGGAGATTCAGAAGGCCGAGGGAACAGGTGGACCCTTCTCCTTTCTTTAAACTTGGTACTGGTGTCTGCTTCAGGCGCCTGAATGACAGATCTCAGGGGTTAAAAAAGCAAGAACAGCCAGCAGTTGCTGTTCATAGCAAAACAAGACATAAGGTGTTTATCCTTAAAGGGGTCATATAATGCTACATGCACTTTTACAAGTTGTTTGAACTGAAATGTGTGTTGGCAGTGTGTGTACACAACCACCCTAAAATGATAAAAATCCACCCAGTGGTTTTTTTGTTAATCTACTAAAATCTTTACCCCTTTCTCAAATCGAGCCGATCTCAGATGCCTGTCTGTGTGACGCAGACTTTTCATTAAGACCCTAAATAATCATATCAACTTGTGGAAAATGGGCATCCTATGACCCCTTTAATAATTCCCTTGATCTCTTGAAACTCACAAAGACAGAATGAGGTCTGTCTGATGAAACTCACAACAAATAACAAAACGGGATAACGGATACAGAATTATGTCAGTAGTTTTCTTGATCATTCTAGTTGATAATTAACTCAATTTTTTTTTTGATGTGATCAGCAAATAACCTCTAAAAAAAACTTGTAAAAAAATGTGCATGAGCCAAGTTTCCAAAAGTTGCCATTATAATGAGTTCCCTCAGATGCTGTATCTTTTCTTTCAGTGTCCTACTATGCTGGACCAGATCCCTCTCCCAGTCCACATGGATCCCGCTATTCCCATCTGTCATAAATTTGGAGGTCCATCATCTCCTCAATGGTAAACCAACAGCTTCATGAAAATCCCCAGAGCTGCCAGATTCATCAGAGAAACAAGATCTTCATATTAAAGTGTGCCAAACTTGCTCTGCCAAAACAATTAGTTAGATATCTAGTTCAAAACTTTGAGGGCATAATTACAAACTATAAACTATGGTTATCTGAATGCATAGCAGTGATGAAAGCTATTTACTAGTTCTCATCAATGTTAACATGCTAAAACCTTCATGCGTCCATGGGGTTTGGCTTGTGAACTAAGCGTTCTGTCCTTGTTTGGAGGGTGATGACGGGATGGACAACAACTGCTGATGCAGTTGGGGAGCGTTGAGGAGGGTATAAAACCTCTCAAAGGTTATTCTCATTCCTATTCCCCATCTCACACCCTTCTGCTCATCATCTTGGAAGAATGGCTCCTAAAAAAGCTGAACCGAAGAAGGAGGCAGCAAAACCAGTGCCTCCTCCCGAACAAGAGAAACCCAGGGAGCCTCAATTTGACCCAAAAAGCATTAAGGTAAGTGCATTGTCTGTATTGCTATTTTACTAACAGCTAAGTGTTAGACCATGGTGAGTAGACACAGGACAAACCAACTTCTTCCCAAAGGTCCTCAGGAGGAAAAAAATGAAACCTGCAAGTCCTTAATGGATTATGTATAAGAACACTGAGCTTATTTCTAAACATTTGGTTTTGTTTCGGCACACAAAATCACATTTAGAGGACAGTTTTAGTCTTATTTTGTTCATCAGCAGCTCTTTAATCAATCTCAGTAAACTTTTTATTGATTCTTAGTCATTACTGCACTTGGATTGTTAAAAAATACTTGGAATTGGAAAGACTAGCAATTTTCTGAGTTTCTATCTCACAAGTCAAAAATGTTAATTTCTCAGAATTTAAAGTTTGGTAACACTTTAGTAACGGGACCAATTCTCACTATTAACTAGTTATTAGCATGCCTATTATTAACATATTGGCTGTTTATATATTCTGCTTGACCATATTCCTAATCATATCCAATACCTAAACTTACCAACTACCATACTAACTATTAATAAGCAGAAAATTATGAGTTTACGTAGTTAATGGTTTGTTAATAGTGAGAATTGGACCTTAAAATAAAGTGTGAAAGTTTCTATCTCCAATTTTTCTTTTCTTTTTTTTTTTTTGCTGAAATCTGTTTTTATCCCAAAATTTGTAGACACCTGACCACATACACATGCATAATTCTGAGGAAAAAAAGTCCGAATTGTCAGATGTAAACTCAGAATTCAGAGAAAAATCTTGCAAGTGCAAGCTATAAACTCGAAATTCTGAGAAAAAAATTACCTGCAATTACCTGTTTCATATTTTTATTCCCTGGCAGAAACAAGCTTCAATAAGACTAAGAAATCCCACCTTCAGGCCGTGTTGAGTTAAAAACATTTGGATATTGACTGGTCTTTGTCTATCCTTGTTATTAAAGTATGTGACATTATGTGCACTGAACAATATGGTTCAAATCAATCAAATAAGGTTAAAATGTCTCACACAAACCTTAGGCTTTAAAATCCCAGTCTCAGCTGAGTGCCTATGTGAAGACGTGAATGTTTATTCATATTGATTTGAGACCACATATGCAGCTTTAACTAACCTGATGGTCAGAGATAGGGTCTGGACAATGGAAGCTTGTCTGAGGTCAGTAGAAGAGCCTCCATGTGGTCATACGGCCTTCCACGCAGGTGTCTGCAAGCTCTCATATTACAGCTTAGCATTCCTGTTCTCTTGTGTGAGTGAGTCTCTCTCTCCTGTGGACAATAAAGATGAGGTTTCACTGTATTCCCTCTGGTCCTAGAACAGATGTCAGATATTCTTAGTCTCCATGAGTGAGAAGCAGCTGACTTTTGTTGAATGACCCCAGAAAGCTTCTTCAGAGAACTAAAACATCTGTATTTTCATTATGATTGTTCATTGTTAACTCTTATAAGATATAGTATTGTTTGGATGTTAACCAGTCAATATGCTTATAAAAGTTCCCTAAAACCTTTTCCCCGCCAGGTTGAGTTTACAGCTGATCAGATTGAAGGTAAGCATTTGCAAAACCAAGTAGACCTACATTTTTTTCATACCTCTTCCTCATTTAATACTATGTATCAATATCCTATCCACACAGAATTTAAAGAGGCCTTCATGCTATTCGACAGAACACCATCTGGTGAAATGAAGATCACTTACGCCCAGTGTGGTGATGTCATGAGGGCGCTGGGTCAGAATCCTACAAATGCAGAGGTGCTCAAAGTACTTGGCAAACCCAAACCTGAGGGTGAGAGGAATAAAGTGTGCTTGAGGCTAAATCATTGTACAAATGTTAAAATGAATACATGTTTAATGTTTTTCTAATATCCATTTTTTTCAGTGGTGGACGAAGTACACAAATCAAGTACTTGAGTAAAAGTATAGATACGTATAATAAAATATTACTCCAGTAAAAGTAAAAGTACTCAGTTTTCAATTTTATGCGAGTGAAAGTACAAAAGTGCTTGATTTTTTATGTACTTAAGTAAAAAGTACTGATAGATGAATATTTATTTTGCAGTTTTATATAGGCTACTTTTATCATTTAATTTTATATTAGCATATATTTTTTTATAATCCTATTGCTCAAAATACCTGGGATTTTACCAAAATAACCAATAAGGAAATAATGAATATAATAAGGAAAATATCATTATATTTTCATAATGATTTTTTTCTTCTCAAACCTTGTCTGTGGTATAAAACCACCCCTGGCCAAATGCACCCCGAGGGCATTGAGTTGTCGACTCGAGAACAACTGCAATCGGTTCATTCTAATTCGCGAATGAATCGTTTGGTGCGATTTGCGACCGATTTTAAAAGGTTCATTGAAAAGAATCAGTTCGTTCTTGAATCAGACACCGCTTCTGCGTGTCGGAGCACGTGATATATTATAAGGAGTAACGATATGTTTTATGAAATGTAGTGAAGTAAAAAGTACGATCTTATGCTTTGGAATTTAGTGAAGTAAAAGTAAAAGTTACTCAAAATAAAACTACTCCAGTAAAGTACAGATACTTGAAAAATTTACTTAAGTACAGTAACGAAGTAAAACTACTCCGTTACTGTCCACCACTGATTTTTTTCTAGAAATGAACACCAGGCTGATTGACTTTGAGACTTTTCTGCCTATGTTCCAACACGTGTCCAGGTCCAAAGATCAAGGCACTTTTGAAGACTTTGTTGAGGGCCTGCGAGTGTTTGACAAAGAAGGAAACGGCACTGTAATGGGTGCTGAACTTCGCCATGTACTTGCAACGCTGGGTAAATACAAAACAGGGCAACACAACAGCTCTATGATACAGTATACTAACAAACCCAATGAGTGCTTTGTTAAATTAAGAAGAGATCTATTTGAACATAAGCAGCTTAAAGAAATTTGTGTTTGACTCCTGGATTTACATATTTACCTTGAGATTAACGCAGGCAGAAACAAGCACAGAGTATCACATGTCTTGCCTGCAGGTGAGAAAATGACAGAATCAGAGGTAGAACAGCTCATGGCAGGACAGGAAGATGGAAACGGCTGTGTCAACTATGAAGGTCTGATCATTTTCTAAATTTGAAAAGTTAAAGCTAATGTATTCTATATATTATTCTATAATATGATCTTGTCGTTTTACCCTTTATTCCCACAGCGTTTGTTAAACACATCATGGCTGGATAAACGAAAGAGCTCAGATCAGGTGATTATGAACTTTTAAATGCAATGATGTTTGATACTGTTTCCAATGAGGATACAGATGGAGAAAGGACTTTCTAATTTAATCTGATTGTCTCACATTTTCCCTTTTAGGCACTACTGTCTCAACAGTCCTTCAGCCCAGCTCTACGTTCTCTAATGCCCTTGAATTAGTTTTCCTGTATAAGGTTCTGTCTTTGCGATGTTTTTTTTTTGTTTTTGCACAGATTTTCTACAACATTAAGCTAAACAATTATTTTGCAATGCTTTTCCAAGGAGCAAATCCTCTCCAAAGTATATGTTGAAATTTAATGCATTTACCTCCAATATATCAGGCTACTGAACTGCTTGTAACATGGCAGGTTTTTTTCACATAAACTTATGTCAATGATTTGTTTTGTGTCAGTGCACATCCACAAGGTCTAAAACTCACTGTCAGTTGGTAGAAAAAATAAACATCAAAATTAAAACTGACCTTACCTCAACTGCCTCAGTTAAAGCTGCACCTTCTTATCAAGACACAGCTGCAGCCAGAAAACTCTGAATGTGCAGATTTACTTAAAAAATGGATTATAGCAAGAGCTGGAAAGAGAAAAGACTCTGGATCACCAGTGTCAGTGTAAATGGCAGATCTACAGCTCAGTCAGGATGAAGAACGTTTGTAGCTTATATTCTAGGAAATTTCTTAGATCCTCTTGAGTTGATTTTGGTTAGTAGTTATTTGGTAAATGCTTTTAAATAAAGTGTTTACATCATAAATGTGATGTGATATAGATGGAGTAAACAAAAATATAACACACTGTGACCTACTGTATGTGTGATTACTGATATAGTTTCCATTTTAATTTTCATACAACAGATGCTCAGATCTTTGTTTCTTCTTGAAGAGGTTTATTTTGAGACAGTAAACAGCTAACTGTACATTTTCCCCGCTTTATCCCACATTAGTACAGAATTACATATTTAAATATTGATTTCAAACAATTTTATAATTTTATATATTATCTTAAAACCACTAAGGAAAAAAAGTTGTCCATTACAATGAATAAAATAATTGCCCTATAGCAACAAAACATTTTCACTGTAAGGGACAAGATATTATTTTCACTGCAGTCAATGACTGTCACCAGTTCTGTTTATATAAAACAATTGATCAGGGGTGTGATAATAGAGACATGAATTTAGAGTCAGCTTCAGTTCCCCCAAAAAGTGGTCTGATATACAGTGTGGCCATTATTAAGAAAAGTCAGACCACTGAATACCACGATTGTCCAATCAGAATTAGGGTGTACCAGATAGGCTAGGTGAATAAAATGATCCACAATTTGCCTACATGGTTACGTTACAGACAGCTATTATTAGTTATAGACATGTGTGGGTCTACAGCTGGCAAGTGTTAATTTACAGACCAGAACAGCGCTCCATTCAGAGGCTATTGTATTTTCCCTGTGTGTCCTTGTGGCTCATGGCAACGGAGATGCTGTCATTTGTCTCCCTTATTGTTAGGCTGTGGGATGCAAACATCTCCTTTGATTTTTCAACACAATGACACACATAAATAGCATATTAGCTTCAGCTGTGTCCTGCAAGACTGAGAAACACTGAGGCAGAGCAGGTTATTGTGTTACTGACACATGGAGCGGTAAGACGCACAAAGATACACACAATCAGCAGCAGTACAAGAAGGGATTCTTCTCAGTTGCATCCAAAGCTGCTGGATTACTGTGACGTTTTTCACGCTAAATATACATACAGCCAGAAATAAACTGCTACTTGCCAATATACCTTTATAATCACAGTTGGAATAGTAATGTTCAGTTCACCAAAAAACAAGAGGATAACTATGGAAAAATGAACTAGTGTTGTCTTGCCAATATATATCTTCTTCTTGTTTTGTTATGGTAGAGACAGGGGTTAGTTGTCACAGTTTTTATTTCAGTGAATATTTTTCAGGATATATTTTGTACTGCCCTGGAAAGAAGCATGCATTTACCTAAGTTGTGATTAACACATTTACATAAAATTACTCAATTACTCAAGTGCTATTATAAAAAGATTAAATCTTAAAATGTAAGAGTATTTTGAGCTAAGTGAAGCTAACTATGGCAAGATGTAACAAATGTATTTTATAAAATGTTATTATGTATTTTTATCCCTAACTAAACCAATGGGCATTCATTAATATTAAAAGTCCGATTTCTTCTGAAGAAGAGATCCTAAGGAAGATCAGACAACCAGTCACATAGACAGGGCTGAAACACCATCTAATGACCAAAAGTGTCTGTAACAGTCAGACTTGTATCCTGTGTAGGAAATAATATAATATCATCATTTGAAACATGAAATGTTGACATTTAAAAATCTATTGAAATAAAGAGAGGTTTCAAAATCCAACACAGGAAGACAAGTCAGGGCAACATCTATTATCAGGTCATTAGCTGTCTCTCTCATAGACAAAATCTAAAAAATGCCTGCTCATTCACATGTGGGCTAGTTGCTGAGCAACTCCCACCCAAGCCCAACCTCAACCAAGTGCTCTATTTGCTTTCAGAAGAGCATCTCACATTTCTGAAGAATAGAAGGACATTGGTAGCATCAACAGCATCGCTCTTTTTCATACAGTATTCTAAAAAAATCTATACTATTGTTTTGGCAAGTAACAGATCAAGATAACTTGCTTAGCAACAGGAAGGAGGAGAATTTACATTTGGGATATTTTGGGATAAAACAGCAGCAGGTTGTGCAGCGGTGAAACAGAGGAGCACGAGGACTCTTACTGTTAATGTGAAGGTGTCCAGGTGAAGGACTTGGCTTGGTATGTAACTCAGGGGAATATGGCTGAATTTGGGGGGCAGATGGTGCAATGTGTGTGTGTGTGTGTGTGTGTGTGTGTGTGAGAGAGAGAGAGAGCGAGCTTGTGTGTATGTATGTTTGTTAAGACTGTGAATATACATAGAGCTTGTTCATATAAAGCACACTGTTTTAAAACAATAATGGTGCTGAAATATTTTAGCTTGCTGCATTTTGCAGTGAATCAGCAAAAATCTGACTCACAGTCAAACTGACCCAAATGTCTAAGACCAACTGCAGAACCAGTTGAATGGATATTTCCAAGTAAAAAATAAAATATTTGAGATTTATAGGGCCTTATATCCATGATTAATCTATCTTATGCTTTATGGAATATGGAATCATCTGCCAAGAGCATAAATAAAGAAATATTGATCACCCGGCACACGTTATCAAATACGATAGCTTTGGCCTCATCTGACCATTATAAACACATTAAAGTACCCTGCTCCTGGAGGGCCAACATCCTGCAGATTTTAGCTCCAACACTGTTGCCTAGAAGTTTCTAGTAAGTCTGAAGACCTTGATTAGCTGGTTAAGGGTGGAAGCCAAACTCTGCAGGACAGTGGCCCTCCCGCAGGTTTGGACACCCTTACATTAAAGTGTTCACTAGTGTTATTTTAGTATCATTGATATACTTTATAATTTTTGTTCATATTTTGAATTGTATTGTTATATTTTGTTTTCACTTTCATTTTAGATTTTTTTTTTTTGTGATTTTGCACGTTTCTTTGTAATTTTTATTTTTTTTATGTCTACATAGTTTTATAAATTTTTTATGTATTAGTTTTCGGGGTTTTTTATGGGGGGGGGTATTTTTTATTTTAGCACTTCAAGTTAAACTAAACAAAAATGATTTTTTTTTTTTTTTTTTTTTTTTTTTTTTTTTTTTTTTATTTCATTTGTTAATGTTTATTTTATTTCAAGTAACGATTTTTTTTTTTTAAATGTAGTTTTCGTTCACACAAAATCTTAAATTATAGTAGTCCATGGCAGGGATTTTCAAACTGAGATCTGGGAACTTTCAGGGGGTTTCTAAGGGGATCCATGTCTTTTTCTCACAGAGTATAAACAGCTCCTTATAGGCCTATATGAAAATACATAGAAACCTTTATGCTTGGGTGTTAAAAGGTTTGTAAACCCTTACTTCATTGTTAGAAAGACCGACAATGTAAAGGTAAGTCCTGATCACAACGCAGACATTCTCAAATAATTTAATGTAACACACACAGGCAGTGCCTTGCACATGGGGGAGGGGGTTTCTCAAGCCCCTGCCCCTTTAATCGCCGATAAAGTGCCCTCTCGGTCCGATTCGGTTAGTTCGGTTCTCGATAGAATTCGGTTAGTTGTGTGTGAATATCATGCAAATGTCAGTTTCATATAGTGCACAGGGCTCACTCATCCTGACATCATTCTTGATCTTGCTCTCTAGCGCCATCCTCCCTTTGCAGGACGCTGGAGGAACTGGCAGGGTTTGTTCACTGGCTGACTGCTGCAGTTGGACTGACAATAACTCAGTGTGCCACAGAGGTAAGTCAAACCGGTTTACAAACTCAGAGACTTATTTAACAGCGATTTATCATTAATCAAGCAATGACCGATGCTCCTAAGCCTTACCACATTTTTACCTCTGCGATCAGTGTAATTAGTCCAAGGATGTTAGTGAATCCGACTGTTATGGGTGTGTGACTGAGACATAATGGGCCTGATTTTCTTTATAGATTGATCATAAAGAGAAAGAAAAATTCATTTCACCGAGATTGCATCGATAAGAAGAACGGCACATAAATCGGACTGCTTTCTTAATGCATTCGCATCTACCGAGAGTTATTTTCATGGATGCACAATATATATGGGCAATAATCTTTTTTTTTAATTTAAAGAACATTCCATTCCATTATGTTTGTCTTTTTGCATGGCATGCAGGACTTTCATGAAATATCGAGGCAGTGTGGCGACAGACGCAGGCAATGCTTCACCTGCACGCGGTTTGCCGGTGTGGAAAAACCTAGAAGTATTTAGACTGATGGAGCATAACGTGGCTCACACCGGTGTGTTAAATCAGTCTCACATTTCTGTTGTGGTCATAACGAATGACAAATCGATAATCGTTTTTTTTTTGCGGCTTTGCACGTGGACCTGATCCGTCTGAAAGCGATAAACGGACTCGACGCGTCGCTGATCCTCCGGTGTAACGTTAAGGGGATTTTCGCAGTTTTGCTCTCGGTTGAAAATGGTGCTGGTGTTGCATGTGGATGTTTTGCCATGGTTACACAAATCGCTATAGGTTCTCTTTTATCCGTAGATTTAACGTGAGTTTAAAGCGCAGGCCTTTTTCAAAGAACCTTCTTTTATTTTTTCCTGTGTTCAGCTTATTGAAGATGCTGACCTTTGTAACACCACATGGGGCTTTTGTCTAGGCGACTCTGCAAATAAAACAGTATTGAATGAAAAACATTTTCATAATGTGATATTGCACAAAAAGACTTTCAATGGCCTAATGGGAAATATAAGCAACAAGCCTGAATCGTAACATTTAATCCATTTCCCCTGCATTTTTGTTGCTTCAGTTTATATGTAATCTGACCGTTAAACTACATAAAACTCGCTGTTTTTTTTTCTGTTTTATCATTTGTATGAGAATACAAGGATGTATAGGCTTAATTCTGCATTTTCAAGGCAGCGGACACACCTTGCTCCCCCGCCCTCCCCGTCTCTCTCTCTCTCTCTCTCTCTCTCTCTCTCTGTCTCTCTCTCTCTCTCTCCTGCTCTCTCTCTCTCATCACGGCCGTTGCTCGTACACCCTCTCATCATCCTCGCCCATTGTTCGCTTCGTAAGTACAATTTCTTTTTGAAAATAAGTTATAAATTCGAAAATCTTGACTGTAATTATTTGAAACGTAACGGTCGACTTGCACGTCCGCATCATTCTCACTTCCTCCCCCACGCCCATCTCTGCTGAACATGCCGCCTGCCTTCAGCCCAACGGTACTGTCGCCGTTTTATCGATTATGTATGTAGTCTTTCATTGGTCTAATATTTAAAGATCACGAAATGACATTTGCGGTTGGTATTTCAGCATGGCTTTATAGCAGTGAACGTAGTGGCTCTTTTTGGAGGAAAGGTTCGGTTCATCGATATGTAACGGTCGGTTGGTATTCTGCAATAGGTTTTTGTCAGTGCCTTTCTGTGCATATCATAAACACGTATCTGAGGCAATGTTATTAGATTTTAGAAAAAGGTGAATTCTCCTAATGGAGGGTATTAATAATATGGTCACAGAGTGCAAATATCTGAACAAAAATATACAGCAAGGGATGTACAAAAAGAACCGAGGAGATTAACTTAGTCCTCCTTACTAGTTTTGAACAGATTTACAAAACTACATTCCAGTAAAGCTGACAAACATTATTCAAATTTCTAGGTCTACCCAATTTTTTTATTTTTATTTTTTCCCAGAACTGAATTTCATAGGCTACTCCTCAGCTCGTAGATGCCGTCTGCTATCTGTAAAATAAAAGCCAAAAAAAGTTAATTAAAACAAAGTATAGGCGGAGGGGGTTGCTTTTGCATATTTAAAATATGCATGCAGAATCTACTGAAAGACAGTTCCCCCTTAATAAGACTTATTGTTAAGAAGTATTATTCTAAAAGTAGATCCCACCGTCAGACAGAACCAGAGTGCTTTCTGTCCAGTTATGCCTATCATAATCTAATTAACCATGGCAATTAAGGAGACCCATGGAACATTAGGTAAATCTTGATTCCATTTACAGACCATGCAATGAAGTGTGTGTTCCTCTTGTCAGACAACAGCCTGTTACTTGCTTCAGTTTCTCACTGTTAGTCATTTATAGCTTCAGAATAGAGGAGGATTGGCTTGTTTCAAACTGCATTTCTCTTTTCATTTAGAAAAATATTTCTGAACATTGCTTCTTATAAGGACTGCTTCATAATTTAGCTTAGTTCATTAAAAAGTCATAATGCATTATTCATTTAATCAATATTGTCAATGAATTATATTACAGTATGTAGTAATAGAGTCATATGTGTCAGACTATATGTTGTCAGAGGGTTTCCACAAGGGGGATGTGAGCATTAGAGTTCACTTTAATTTTATTAGAAGAACCATTGTCGCCCAATCATATCTCAGGAACGTCCGGGGATATGATAGATACATTAAATCAGATTCAACAAGTCTTGAAGACAGCAAGACAGTGTCTCTCTGGTCTGGTAGGCCAGATCCCATGCAGAGTGCACTGCAGTCCTGAACTCCCTGATGCACCATGGCAACAGATGACTAACTTCCTGTGTGCAGCGGCTGGAGATCACAAAAATGTGTCTTGCACACACACGCAAGCTGAGTTCATATGGTGTTTATACATCTTATATTCTCTATATTGAAGCCAGTTGAATAGTTTATGATGGCTGTGCCTCACAGCTATCTGCATCCGCACACATTTTGTGGTGGATGTATATCACCAGACTGACATTTTCCTCTTCGTGCGAGCATCTGTACAACACATTCACGTAAATGCCAACCATCCTTTTTGGAGGGTGAATATTTTCATATGCTAAGTGGATCATGCTGTTATCAGCAGCAACTTCATCTGGCAGCATGACCATTATTTAATTGCACAAACACATTGACTGCTCTGCCACTTAGTTCATTTAACGTGCAGATTCAGTTCAAGTGAGGTGTGATCAGAACTCTTGTGGTGTCTGGGCTGGGGGTCTAGAGACCACATGGCAGATGGGACGGTTGCGTCTCTTGGTTAGATCAAGGACATCTCTGCTGTCGGAGCAGGTGTGACACGGGCAAATCACCACAGCACTGTTATAAATGAGGCTTTTAGTCTTCCTTGTAGTAATACATATTATTTACATTCTCTTTGAGAATATTCCTGATATTATTAGTTAATAATAATGTTCTGAACTCTTTTTTTTTTCCTTTACACTCTTAAAAATAAAGGTTCTTTAATTGCATCAGTGGTTCCATGAAGAACCTTTAACAACTTTTGCTACTTCTTTGTAATTATTTGCGAATTTTACTAGCAAAATTGCTTCAAAGTAATCCCTACACCAATTTTTTTTTCATATAACAAACCAACATTTAATTATTTATGAATTAGTCATTATTCATGGAAAGTCTCTGCCCTAGCTCACCTTGATGCTTTCATGGAACAGTGATGTCCAAATTGTGAACAAATCATTGTTTTAAATTCAAAGAATCAATTGATTTGCTCAAGAATCAGATCATTCTAGTTCTCACTAACTCAGCGATCCAGTCCCGCTGGATATCAGATCAATGGAGTGAAGAATAATATTGAATAACCACTTAAATTCAGTATCTCCCTCAAACAAAGCTATTGGCTTCAGAAGACATAGTGCAAGAGTTGTATGGACCACATTTATGATACGTTTATGGTACTTTTGGGGGGAATTTTGGAGCAGGACAGCCATGGTCCCCATTTACTTTCATCACAGTGAAAAGAGTGGCCAGAATATTCTTAAAATGTTCACCTGTTATGTTTCACTGAAGAAACAAATTCATACAGGTTTGAAATTGCATTTAATGACAGACATTTTGGGGTGAACTATCATTTTAAACGCATAAGCATGATTATGCATGTTTAGCAGTTAATTTTGCTGGCTGGCGCAAGCATGCTGCAATGCTTGAGAAAATACTGAACATTTTCTTGATTAAGATGCACCTGCCATGCATTTGGCAAATGGAGACATGCAGCCATCGCCCTCACTGATCTTGCTGCCCAGTGCTGGAGCTCTGCGGGAACAGACAGAGAGAGAGAATGAGATGGACTGAAGGGTGGAGACATGAGATGGAGAGATGGCTGCACACTTCTGAAGTGATGCTGCAATCTGCACTGCTAGCTGGGATGGACAAAACTAGGTCAGAGGCAGAGAGGCACCCAGCTGTGCACAGAAAGGGAAGCTAGCAGTGTTGCCCACCCTTCAACAACAACCAAAGCGCACACACAATAATTACCTTTCTACAAACTGTAAAAAAAGTCAACAATTTCACGCTGAGCTGCCCCTAGGAAGTAGTTTCACTTAAGTGGACTTGACTTGGGTGTTTGTTTTTGCTGCTGCATTGTTGCAAAGGCATTTCAGAACCATCTCTCAGATGCTTTGATTACACCGTGCATAGGGCACTTATGTAATTGGTCTGTCTGAAAAACTCCGATAGAGACCCATAAATTTAGTGAAGAGAAATGCTGAGTTGGAGAGGACAGTCCGGTTAATTTAACCCTCAGAGCAGCTAAGGTATGAGTGTCTCTCTGAGCTGTTAAAGGGCACGGACAGGGTTGCCAACTTCAGAAAATGAAAATACGGGACAATCACCTTACGGGGGGGTATACACACACACACACACACATATATATAGTATGCATGAAAATGTGTATTTTCAATTAAAGACAGCTTATAGATTTAATATGGGCTGCTTTTGGTGCTTTGACACCTTTTTATTGGTCAATTTGTGTTTCAATAATAAGGTCCAAGGTTAAGAA